TGCGGGGACCTACCCAGCAGTGCCCCAGCTGTTCTGTCCCAGGAGTCCAGATTCAGCCGCTGTTGAAACTGATCAGCAGCTGATTCCAGGAAGCCGGGGGCAGAGCAACTCTGCCTAGGGCTTCCTGTAGTCAGCCGCTGATCAGTTTCAGCAGCAGCTGAATCTGGAGCCAGTTCTGTCTTACATACAAATTCAACTTAAGAATAAACCTATAGTCTCTACCTTGTACGTAACCCAGGGACTGCCTGTAGTTAGCTCTAATTCAGAACCTTTCATCCATAGATCTCAAATTGCTTTACAAAGAAGATAAGAAGTTATCTAGAGCAGTAACTATGATTTTTTGAGATGTGTGTCAATTGTAGGTATATGTGCATCTCTGAGCCTCTAATTAGAGATTGTAGGTAGTAGTGTCTGTAGAGCCTACACATGCACTTTCCCATACTATGTAGCACCAAATGGGCAAACCATCCTTAGTTCCTCCTCTACTACAGAGCTCCCTATCGAGAACTCTGCAATAGAGGAAAGAAGGATGGGCTGTGGAGCATTTATAGGGATACACATCTCAAAGAATCATCATTACTACAAAAGGTAACTTCCTCTTCTTTTCAAGTAGTGTCCCTATGGGTGCTTCTATGTAAGTGACTTCACAGCAGTATCCATGGAGGACTGGGGCTTCAGAGTGGAGCTTATTATTGAAGACAGTACTGTGCAGCTGAAGATGGCATTGGACTGAGTCCCAGTGATCACATAGTATTCTGAAAAAGCATGGGCAGGGGCCTAAGAGGAATTAGTTGATTCATATGAAAGATGGGCTGTGATGGGCAGATGTGCCATCAGGATTGCTATTACTCCTATTCTTCTAGCGGAGGAAATGGCAACCAAAAATACTGTCTTCATGGACAGGTGTGTGAGACAAGTTGCTATAGCTCAAAGGGTGGTCTTTTCAAGGCTCTCAGAACTAGATTAAGAACCCAGGTTGAAGTGTGTGGTCTCACATGTGGGAAGAAGTTTCCCTTGCTCTTAAGGAATCTATACATCATTGTGTGAGTGAACACTGATTTGCTTAGTGTGACCTTCTTTGGGGAGTAGACAGATTTGAGACACATCTGCAGATGCTTCATGAACAACTGAGCATGTGGAGTGACGAATGTGCATGCTATAGGTAGTTCCTGGCTAATGCACAAAGATTATGCCTTCTCAGTAGAGTGCTTACTCCTGTCCCTGGGTGCTGCTGACTTGGTGGCCTTGCCCATCGGATACATTAGCTTGTCAATGATACCTGGGCTGAGACTGTCACAGTGTAAATGGGACCGAGGACATCATGCACACCAGAGATTGTCAGCAGATATCTAGGGGCTCACTGTTGGGACTTTCCACACTCTTTTACAATTCACGAGCAGGGTCAGTGCATTGTTTTTTCAACTAAGAGCCTTTGTATATCATGTCTGCCAAATGACTTTTGGTGCAGGTCCAAAGACAGTTGGAGAGCTGCCCCCATGAAGATGATCGTCTGGGCTCTCTATCCTTATGGGACCTGGGCCAGAGATGCTGGCAAACACCACACTTTTGTTGCATGTAGCTTTCCCCCAAGGCAGTGCATGCACTGGAAGTGCTTGTCTGCAACAGGAGCCCTTCTTGAAGCCTGATGAACAGGGGCAGGTTCCCCAGTAAGGAAAAAAGCAAGAAAAAAAACAAAATTTATTTTTTTAAGGAGAAAATATAAAAAGAGAGAGAAAAAAAATCAACAACTATGACTAAATACTAATAGGCTAACTATAAAAATGCAAAATCAAAAGCAATGGTCCTAATGGGTTGTGAATAGCTCCCTCTCTCGCCAGAGGCAGTTGAGAAGGAACTGAGGGGGATTAACCCATGTACCCTTAGGCACATGACTGAAAGAAGAAGTTTAAGTTACAGAAGGGAACCTGAAGCACAGCGAGATAAAGTGCCCAAGGTCACTGAGAAGGCTAGTGGCAGAACTAGGACCAGAACCCAAATCGCCAGAGTCCCAGTATAGTGTTCTATCTACGGGGCCTTGTGTATTAACTAATTTTCTTTTTAAAAACTTCCATAATTGTACAGGACTTTCAAAAATTCATCTTCCATTATAGAATCATAGAACTGGAAGGGACCTCGAGAGGTCATCGAGTCCAGCCCCCCGCCCTCAAGGCAGGACCAAGCTCCGTCTACACCATCCCTGACAGATGTCTATCTAACCTGTTCTTAAATATCTCCAGAGAGGGAGATTCCACCACCTCCCTTAGCAATTTATTCCAATATTTGACCACCCTGACAGTTAGGAATTTTTTCCTAATGTCCAATCTAAACCTCCCTTGCTGCACTTTAAGCCCATTACTCCTTGTCCTGTCCTCAGAAACCAAGAGGAACAAATTTTCACCTTCCTCCTTGTGACACCCTTTTAGATATTTGAAAACCGCTATCATGTCCCCCCTTAATCTTCTTTTTTCCAAACTAAACAAGCCCAGTTCATGAAGCCTGGCTTCATAGGTCATGTTCTCTAAACCTTTAATCATCCTTGTCGCTCTTCTCTGTACCCTTTCCAATTTCTCCACATCTTTCTTGAAATGTGGCGCCCAGAACTGGACACAGTACTCCAGCTGAGGCCTAACTAGTGCAGAATAGAGCGGCAGAATGACTTCACGAGTTTTGCTTACAACACACCTGTTGATACAACCTAGAATCATATTTGCTTTTTTGGCAACAGCATCACACTGTTGACTCATATTCAACTTGTGGTCCACTATGACCCCTAGATCCCTTTCCGCCATGCTCCTTCCTAGACAGTCGCTTCCCATCTTGTATGTATGGAACTGATTGTTCCTTCCTAAGTGGAGCACTCTGCATTTCTCCTTATTAAACCTCATCCTGTTTACCTCCGACCATTTCTCTAACTTGCTAAGGTCATTTTGAATTATGTCCCTATCCTCCAAAGAAGTTGCAACCCCACCCAGTTTGGTATCATCTGCAAACTTAATAAGAGTACTCTCTATCCCAATATCTACATCATTGATGAAGATATTGAACAGTACGGGTCCCAAAACAGACCCTTGAGGAACTCCACTTGTTATCCCTTTCCAGCAGGATTTAGAACCGTTAACAACAACTCTCTGACTACGGTTATCCAGCCAATTATGCACCCACCTTATCGTGGCCCTATCTAAGTTATATTTGCCTAGTTTATCAATAAGAATATCATGCGAGACCGTATCAAATGCCTTACTAAAGTCTAGGTATATGACATCCACCGCTTCTCCCTTATCCACAAGGCTCGTTATCTTATCAAAGAA